AAAACAAGAGCTCTCGGAGCTCTAAAGTATATGAGGGTTCCCGTGAGAGTGAGAGAGAGGTTTGAGATAGAAAGTGTTTCGGGAAGAGAGGGAAGAGAAGAGAGTTAGAGAGTTGCCACATGGCAGTTTAGGATAAAAAAAAAAGGAATTTGGATCAACGGCTAGGATTAAAAGAGATAAAGGGCTAAATTGATAGATTTAAAAATGTTATAGGGGAAAAACAGAAATAAAATGGAAATATGGGGGTGGTTGTAACATTAGACTATTAGTCGGCTTAGAATTGGGCTTGAAAAATGAATAACCAACGTAAATAAATAAATCCAGTTTGGTTTTTGTACCACAAAAATCGAAATTGACAATTTTTTTGTTTCGGCTGGGGTTTCAATCCATTTGGTTTATTTATTTATTATTATTATTTTACTTCAGTTTGATATTTGGACCTTTTTTTTTCTTTTTTCCAGTTTTCGATTTTTAGAGCCTAGCCCTATTGCTTGCCAATGAAAAAAATTAGAATCCCCATCACTTTTATAATCCTCTTTAGATTAAACATTGGTTATAATACAAAATTTGATTAGGACACCTAAACAATAGTCATGTCAACATTTTTATATTTATTTAGATTACAAATCATTATTGTGTTTTTTTAATTTAATATATTAATTATTAAATTCCATATATATCCTTTTATGTAGATATATTTATGTACGTGCCTATTCTTTAGGAAGCCGGTTCTCCCACGTTTTTTTAATTCAATCCCATCTATGAAAGTCTCTTACTCAGGTTTTTTTTTTTTTTTTCAAAATCAAAGCCTCCGAACAGAGAACCACATTTCTTAGTTGGCCTACTACATATATCGATACTAGCCCAATGGCGTCGTCCATTTCTAGCTTTTAGTCTAATTTCTTTGTATAATCTCGTTTTGATAGGAGCTAATGACCAGTGAGTATAACTTTGCCCCTATGCAATTAACTTTACGTACCAAACGCCTTGAATGATCTAATTTAATATTATATTATGAACCAAACGATCATTATGGGTCAGTGTAACATTAAGTAACGTACCAAATTCTTAGTACATTACAAAAACAATGTATAACGTTTTTTCAGACAAATACGTTTCAAAAATAAAAAAAAATTTACGTACCAAATGCCTGGAATCATCTAATTTAATATTATATCATGAACCAAACGATCATTATGAGTCAGTGTAACATTAAGTAACGTACCAAACTCCTGTTACATTACAAACACACTGTATAATGTTTTTCCAGACAAATAAGTTTCAAAAATTACTAAAACTTTATGTACCAAATGCCTAGAATGATCTAATTTAATATTATATCATGAATCAAACGATCATTATGAGTCAGTGTAACATTAAGTAACGTACCAAACTCTTGGTAAATTACAAACACACATTGTATAACGTTTTTCCAAACAAATAAGTTTCAAAAATAAAAAAACTTTACGTACCAAACGCCTTAAATGATCTAATTTAACATTCTATCATGAACCAAACGATCAATATGAGTATGTGTAACATTAAGTAACGTACCAAACTCTTGGTACATTACAAACACACACTGATAACGTTTTTCCAGACAAATACGTTTTCAAAAAATAAAAACTTTACGTACCAAACGATCAATATGAGTCAACATAACATTAAATGACATACCAAACTCTTGGTACATTACAAAGTTGCAGTCCAATAATGTACCAAATTAAAAATGTTAACTGGTACATTACAAAGTCGCAGTCCAATATGAGTCAGCATAACATTAATAATGTACTAATCATAGCCTTGCTCAGGACCCTCAACTTCTTATACTAGCTACGTACGTTGCGGTGTAACTCCTAACAAGTTGGATGGATCTGAGATCCAACCGAAGCTCCATATGGGATTCTTAATTCAATTAATACTAAAACCATAATTAATAATTTGGCTAATACACAACATGCATCGACCCTAACGTGTGAATCATGTTTTTAACTCGATAACAGCTTCAGCTATACCTAGATTAATTAAGTTTTCATCTTTTATTTTTTTCGTTTAATCAAATCCTTCGACTTCAAAAGACAACCAAAATCAATGCACCCAACTGATAAGGATTCGACGTAATGGAGTGCCGGCTGTCGACTACCTGACGCCCTCCCCCTCCTCCTTTATCCGGGCTTGGGACCGGCAATGTAAGATAAACTTACACGGCGGAGTTCAATGCACCCAACTGATAATTGAATAAAAATAAGTAACTGGAACCTGAATACCAACGTCGACCTCGGTACGAAAAGAAGGCTTTTGAAATTTATGGTACGTTCATAGGAAGGAAGTGTCGTTGGAAAATAAAATTCACTAGAAAAATAACATTATTAATATCCTTAAATTCAAATCCTTCTGATATTCAACAAGTATTCTACTCGGATTAAAACTCTGAGACATAGTTAGCAAGAATCTAGGAAACTTGCGTGCATTTTGGGGTGAAGAAACTGGATACGGCAAAGAGATATGTTAAAGGCTATGGCAAAATATGTAATTTAGGTACGTTACAATGGGTTAATTAAAATACACATGGCACCAAAATTGTAGGAGAATGTTTAATCAAATTGTTAAATTGAATAGATGTTTAATCTAAGAAGCCTAAAAATGAGGGGTCTATATCAAAACGCCCCAAATAACTTGTTTCAACTACTATACATGACATTCTGTTATTGGTTTTATATGTCACAGTGCTATTTTCAGGAGTGTAGATAAGTCTCTCTTCTATAAGTTGACATATATGAAGATCATGGTCTTTAACATCACAAATAGGAGAACCTTAAATTTTCAAACTTCCAGCAATCAACTAACTAAACTGGAGTTTCGTTTAACACAATGGATTGCTCGCGTGAAGAATACAACTATCTCATAATCCAAGCGCGCTCATCAAAACTCAATTCTAGTTGTTAATACATGCATGCTGCACAATGCATCAGCGGTCCAATTAAACTACGGGGAAATGGAATAAAAATAAAATATCTGTTCTAAATCTCCACACATAGTAAATGGAATTTCATGTTATTTTCATCAAGAACAAAATTTAACAAAAAAAAAATATGGCATGATAACGAAGCAAAACAAATAACAAAGCATTAACCGTATAGACTTTACACGAGTCAAACAACAATTTGCCAATTGTGTTTATGACAATGGTTGAAGAAAAATTAGAAGGGTGATTCATTCGTCTCAATTCCAACCTGCATTGCTCTTCCCTCAATAGATGAGAGCCATTTGTTTTAGATTTCAATTAATGCCACACATTCGTGCTCTTTGACACAACATTTGTGTCGTTTAGAGCAAATAACTTAAATAAGTATCACGTATTCTTGAACTCAAATATTATAGTGTTGCACTCAATATATAGAAAAACGATAAAAAGAACAAAAAAAAAAAAAAAAAAATCATGTGGCGTTCAGTGGCCTCATTTTTCACGTGGGTTGGTATGTAGTAGTCAACCAACTTTTGATGTGGCAATTGATCCAGTGGCGCCATCTATTTATCTACAAACATATATATAAGGTTTGGCAAGCTGTGATGAGCACCTTGAGCCCTGCTATATCTTCGAAGACTTATAAACGGTGGCTAATGATGATGACAACATTACTTAACGCACCATACAGTTACTCCATGATCCATATGCTGTGCATAATTGAACTGAATTTTACTGCACTATGGTAAAAGTTGGAGAAGAAGGCTTCAAAAGTAAGAGATTCTCTCTTGCAACCATGTATAATCTTAATGATATCATTCGTTTAATAAACACTTACTACATGTTTAAAAAACTTACTACCGGTCCAATATACTTATCTCGAGTTCAAAAAGTGAACCACATGTGTAATATTTCTTAAGTGATCAGTCTCTGATTATAAGGCATCCAATCATGTACCAACAAGAACAAAACTAAACATACAAACCACCTCTTCCTCCATCAAAAACAAGGGAAAACCAAACCCTAGATGCCTTGTATCTTTGTCGAATCTTATTGCCATGTAATATAAAGTGTAAAAGATTAAAGCAATCAATTAAAAAAAAAAATACTGTTTTGCCAAATTAAGAGAATAATATACAATCTTTGGATACTGTTTTTAGTCTGTGCAAGCCATGAAACTACAAATGGTTCTAATTCTAAAGAAAATAAATCCATCGATCATCTAGCAATACAGTAAATTTATAATTAACTTCGATAATATATATTTATCAACAAAAAGCATTTAGAAATAGTACTGATCATCACTCTTCAGAACATGAACAACGTTGCTGAAAAAGCTGCGGGTATCATCATAGGTACGTTGTTTCTCCTGATGAAAATATTGCATACAAATGCAAAAATTAAACTTCCATAAATTAAAAATTCTATATATATAGGGTTGTGATTTTCACACACCCTTAACTACTTTTTCCACACCTTTCTTATTTTTTAATAGTTAATTGGTATCATACTATTTAATCTTCCATATATACCCTTCCTACTTTTTGATGGTAATTAATGAAATATTAAATAGGGAGGGGTATATATAGAAGATTAAATAGTATGATACTAATTAAGTACTTAAAAAATAGCGAGGAGTGTGGGAAAAGTAGTTAAGGGTGTAGTTAATTGGTATCCTACTATTTAATCTTCCATATATACCCTTCCTACTTTTTATGGTAATTAATGAAATATTAAATAGGGAAGGGTATATATAGAATATTAAATAGTAGGATACTAATTAAGTACTTAAAAATAGTGAGAGGCGTGGAAAAAGTAGTTAAAGGTGTGTGAAAATCACAACCCTATATACACACACTAAACGCCTAACTTTGTGGTTAATTCCCTTTGTGTCCTTTTTACTGTTCATTCACCATTGTTCTTCCGTTTTTGCCCCTTCTTTGTTTCTGTGATCACTGTTTATTATAGTGTGATTCCGTTTTTACCTCTGTTTTGTCAATGATGGACGCGAGTTGCTGATGGTGGACGCGTGTTCGCTCTCAGATTTCTCGACCTCTCTCTCTCTCTCGAAGATTCCAGTAAACCTTTCCGTTTCCTTCTGTGCAGGCTTCTCGAGTTCTCTCTCTAAAATCCAATCTCTCTCCAAAATTTCATACTTCTCCTTCAAACCGGTTTCTCTCTCTAGAACTCCCTCGCCGCTGCCTTCTGTCTTTCACTTTCTTGATGAAAACGACTCACTTCCTAGCTCCTCTGTCACTTCCATGTCCGCCGTCGGTGGGTATTATAAGCTCACGGAGCTCTCGGTTTTGTTCATTTCTTTTTGGGTACCCCAAGTGCTCCGTTTGGTTGCTGAGAGACTGAGAAAAAGGGATTGAATCGCTTGGTTGGTTTTTCGGTGAGCAAACAGAACTGGGTTCTGTTGTGTTTTTATCGTGACTGATGGAAATTTGGTGTCTTTGGTTCGAATCTGCAGCACCCAAGAGGAAAATACCGCGACCCGTGAAATACGACGACGAGAACCCGGCGGTTCAAAACAATCCCATTTCTTCTACGGCCAAAGTGGTGGCTGATCAGCCTGCTAAGGTTGAGACTTCCTGTCCGAATTTGGAAAAAAAACCCAAGGACTCTAGCTGAAAATGGTGGGTCTTCGTGTGATTTGCCCCACTCTCAAGCTGTTCCGGCATCGGTGGAGGCTCAGCGGGAGTCAATTAGGCCGGAGAGCAACGCGGTGTCGAAGTCAAGGCCAGTGAACGATGAATCGGAGAGTCGAAATGTTAAAACAAGCAAGGAGGAGCCTCAATCTCCCAAGAAGGAACCTACTGGCATCAAATTGGATGATAAACGTGAAGAAATCACACTGACCAAACCGTGATAAAATACAGAGGTAACTAGAAAAACCCATGAATCTTCTTCTTTCACAGTACAATTTTAATTCAAATTCGGCACGGTTTAAACCCCCCCTCCCTTTTTTTTTGGCTGTTTCAGAGATGTGAAGTTCAAGAGAAGGGGACTAAATCAATCTTCGATTTACCTGACCAATAATTCAAGATTCAAGGAAGATGGTGAAAATCAGAACCCCAATCTATCAACCCCTCCAATGAACCAAGCTAAGGCCATGAAGGCAACACTCAAATCAAGCACAGAGAAGAAGCAACCAATTGAGAGCACAACGCCGAACAATGAGGTTCTTCCAAAGCTGAGAAGCACGCTGTCTGCAAGGAATATTATGCTTGGTCCCAATTACGATGAGGAAATTAACAAGACTCTGGTTTGCCTTTATTAGGTTTCTGTTGATGGGTTGAGTTCAATGAAGAAATATGTATTTAGATTAGGCTGTGCTCAGGTGATTTTTTTTTCATATTCGTTTCGGCCTGGCCATTAGTAAGATTTTCTATATTAGTAGTGAGAAACAAGCTTCTACCAGTTTGTTAATATGGATTTTCTTTGTCATTTCAATGTAGTCCTAAGCTAGGTTTAAGCCTTGAATTGGTTTCTTTGTAGCTGCCTGGCTGGATGTGCATTTAACTGCTTAAAATCTGTTTGTTTTGTGTTGAGGACTAACTAGGTTCGCTAGATGCAAGAGTTTTATTTTATATTAGAAATTTAACCTCTTTCTGATGCTTGGTGGTTGAATCTTCCTTATGCTCTGGTATATCATGGAATTTTTCTTAGTTTTCTATCTTTATTATACTTTTTTCTAAGTTGTCCTGCCTGTGTAACAATTGGACTTTGCTGCAGGCTCCTTTGGACAAAAGAGTTCCAACCGCTGGGCAATTACAACGGTCGTTGAGTACTTCCATCTGCTTCCCTATGCTGCGATTTTGTGAGACTGATATCCCAGGTGTGTGTTTTATCTTCATATGCTTGACATTTTTATTTAGTTTTGATAAATAATCAACTAGAAACACAATTCAGTTGGACGAATTCTGCATTGTGACATATAGGACATTCGGTTATGCTCTGTTTGTGATTAAGGATGTTTGTTATGTTTTCCCCTATTTACATTAATACTGTGAAACATTGAGTAAAAATCAATTTAGCGGAACTATATACCGGTAAAGATGTGCATATTAATCCTGTCTAAAGTAAAATTTAGAAATCTGGCATAGTGAAAACCAATAGAGAAAATGAAAAACCAACTTAATTTTGTGAATTTGATTTGGTGCCTACAAATGAAATCTGGCATATTGAAATTTTGTAGAGTTAGATTATGACAAATTTTCATTAATCTTTAGATTTTCATTCATATGCAACTTAGTGTGATTCAATTCATAAGTGATCCAATTCTGTTTTTAATTTCCTTCTCTTAATTTTTACCTCTACGTTGTCGTAGAAAACGAAGGAGACATCATTAACGAAGTTACAAATTTGGGTGTCTTTAGTGAAACAAAACTGGATTGTTTAACTTTGTAAAATTGTACGCATAAAACAATGTCTGGGGTAGAGCCATAACTTTTGAAAAACAATCCTTAAGAATGGCACACCCATATTTCCAATTTTTGTCATGTAATATATGAATGTAAATAGCACTTCCTTAACACCTGGACATGGATGTAATATATGTATATAAACACCACTCTTTGGCACATATATTTTTTGAGACTTCTGCATATTCAATTATGTTTTCAAACACCGCAGCAACGCGTGGATACACTTGCTAGTGTATATCGATATGTTAAATATATATACATATATATATATATATGTGTGTGTGTGTGTGTGTGTATAACCTGAAGAAAAATCAAACACACTGTAATAATATATTTACCTGGAGCAGTACTGAAAATCATTACTAGAAGTATAACTGAAACTTGGAGCTTTGGTCTTTGGACTAGGACCTTTGGCTGATGCCATCTTCTCAGACTGAAGGTTACCCTCATAGCCTGAAACAACCCCATCCTCTGAGATTGTAACAAGAGCTGGCTTCCATTGATGACCACTTCCAGATTTGGAGCTTCTCCCATGGGTCGATCTCGTCATCCAATCTCGGGTTCGCGACGACGATGAGCGGTAACACGATCCCAACTCCAAGAGGAACTTCATTATTCTGGTTAGGTTTGGCTCGGGAGAAAACTCAAGTATATATGCCCTGTGATTTTGTCAAGGTATGACATTTAATCGGTTTTTTTAGCTTGTATTTATAGGGAGAGAGAAGGTTAGGATTTGTGACGCTGACGTGCAGTGTCTATTTTCTGAAATCTTAATGGATTTTATGTTATTGTGTTGAGTTGTCATCTTATCTGCGTAATCTGAAAGGGTCAAGGGGTCCTAATACGTTTGGTTTGCCTAATCCAATTGTTAATTACACCTTCCACAGGTACTGTGCACCTCTTAATTGCTACTTATTAGTAATTACAATGAACAATGAAGCTAATGTGGAAATCCGTTGACGTAATACTTATTCCTTAACTATCGTTACGTACTATATTAACGAGAAGATTCCACAACATTAAGTTAAAGATTAACTTGATTATTATTTTTATTTTGCTTCTTAATATCTTTAAAATTGTTGTAAAGAAAAATAATTAATTCGAGAGAAAATTAAGGAGTTTTTATCAGAAAATTTCATGATTAAAAATTTCCTCCATTACAAGGATTATTGTCCCTTTCTAGATTCCTCCCCATCAAGTATACAAAGAGAACACTCATCTAGTTGATAATTGCTCATCACATTATCTTTTATGTCTTTGAGGCGTCTACCGTTACATTTTTTTTATTGTCAATTAATTTTAGAGAATTTTAACGAAAAATTTATGGTACTGTTTATTTTAACAAAATCATACTTTTACACTAAAAAGTCAATCCAGTACTATTCAGTTTACTCTTTATTTTGTCCTTATCCTTAAAACTCAAAGATAACATTTTTCATTAGTTTTTCCTTAATTTTATAATGAAACTCCAAATTTCTTCAACTTTTAATAACTTTTTTGAATTGTTTTAGTCTTGCGATCAGTTAGTCTCTATTTGTTTGGGCTTCAACCCTACTCATTTAAAGGAATTTTCAGCACAAATACCGTATTGTTGGAATATAAAGTATTTAATTTTTATGATTTAAGTACCTAAAACTCCCTAACATTTTGGTGTGATGTCAAACTAGTCCCAACCTTTTCAAACATCTCAAAAGAGTATAGGAAATATCACTTCTGTTAAGTCCCAAGAGAGTGGTTGTCAATTTTTAATAAATAAAAGACGGTCAATGAGTTTTGTTTCAATCTGTTTGTTGGTGCTAATGATGGAGAGGGGAATGATAAGGGAGTTTGAGAAGGAGAGAGGAATTTTAGAGTGTTGAGACTAATTTAACCATGAATATCACGTCATTAATTTGAGATTTGTCCAGACCATAAAAAAATATGACCAAGAATGCCACATAAGCACTTAACGGTTCCCTTAACTTGGGACTAAATCAAAGTGATATGTCCTATACGTTGACTTTTTTTTTTTTTTGAAATGTTTGAAAATGTTGAAACTAATTTGGAATTATACCAAAAGTTACTAGAATTTGCACATTGCAACAAAACTTGGTGTCCACCCACCCAAATTGTTGTTGGGCCCCTATCTGCACATTGAAATCTTGTTGGTCTACCAATGGTTGGCATGGGCCTTATAGATTTAAGGCCGAACATAGTGGTTGAAGAAGAAAGAGTTATCTATGTCGACAAAAAAATAAAAATTAATATCTATGAAAAGTAAATGAATAAAATGCCACTCTATGGAGGGAACCACCGACACTTCTCCACCACAAAATGTTGATCGGAAAAGAATAGAGTGATGGTCTATCGTATTGCACTGATCATCGCATCCTACACAACAACAATGGTAGTTTATGCATTTTTTTTATCAAAGATTTTATTCCTAACAACGAGAGCCTCAAGGAAAAACGAATATGAAAGATTGTCCCTCCCAACCTCCAAGTCTTGTTGGCTTAATTGGTCGAGCTTAAATATGAGGACGAATGCATGCATGTTTAAATGTGTCGTCTGTCTGTCGAAGGGCTTCATTCATTAACGTAACAAATGTGAGTTAATCAATTGACAAAGGTAGTATGCATGCTCTCTTGTTCTTAAATTTGAATCACATATTTGTATATTAGAATGTCCAATTTATCAATACTTGACTCATTTTGATAGTGAAACGCTAAACCCACAATCAAGATTCAAAATGATTGGGTTTAGCGTTTTACTATCAAAATGAGTCAAGTACTAATATTTTCCTCAACTTAACTACATGCTACATCAATCGATGCAAAGATCTATCACGTAAGTCATTGGTTTGGGTGGCGGGGTCATTGTTTACAATTGGAACAGTTAGAGTCAGGTTAGGTCGGATTTTACTCTAATATCATGAAGAAAGTTGAGGCGCCGTCATAAAATTAATTGGTAATATTTTTTTTCTTCATAAATTGGCAATATATGATAGTCCAACTCCTTCTCCCTTATAACACACACACACACACACACACACACACACACACACACATATATATATATATATATATAATTACCTTAATTATTTTATGTGAGATTCACATCCTCAACAAGAAAACCTAATAATTGAGAGACTACATATTAGATTGATGGGTAGGGTGAAAATCACTATGCGTAGATGAGTTATATTTCACATAAATTAAGCAAGCAGAATAGCCTAATTGTTTTGACGTGGCATAAATGTCGTCTTACCCTACTGAATTATCTTTTCAAGGCACATACATTACCATCTTCTTCAATCGTTTCACTACAAACAGAATAGAGTTCGAGAGTTCTGGGTATTCTTTCTCTTCATGGTTCTCATCATATGGCTGGTTGGGGTTGGAATAACCTGCACATCGCATATTGTGATCATTAAGCACATGTTCTCCACAGGTAATCTATAACGTACTAATAAAAAACACATGTTATAACATAAATGAATTGATAACGTACCACATGACAATATAACTGTTTTTAATCCTTTAATTAATTTAAAATTTTAATTAGTTTCTACATAATATCGACTATAGACCAAACAAAGTAAAAAAAGTTTAGAGTCGATGGAGACGAGACGTACGTTACACTTACACATAATACAATTCCCTTTACCCTAGCCTGTAAAGGAACCATGTGAAATCTAAATCACAAGATTTTCGTCGGATTGTCAAAGTAAAGTGAGAGTGACATGTCTCTTATACATGTACAGCAGCCGGCAGTCTAGCCACAGCCCCAGTACAGCTTTTCCAGCAACAAATTATTCCGGAGAAAAATATGTAACTGATTTTCATGAATCATCATCGATGGTTCAAACCAGAATCGAAATAACTCCATTGTTTTCTTTTTGTAGTTTTCTTACCGTCTAAATGCATGAAGAATACATATAATGGTCTCAGCACTAATACGTACGTCCTCTATCATAATTATTGGTATCTATTTATAATGACTGAATTTCTTTGGTTGTCCTTAGCATGCACGATCAGAAGCAGACAACTGAGTTGTGGATGTCAATTAGGATAGTGTTGTTCACACACTTATTTTTATTTCTCCCTCATCTTTGTTAATTTTTTGCCATTGATTTTGTCCAATTCATTTGATCAAATGACTAAAAATTGAGAGGGATGTGTGAGAAGTAAAAATGGATGTGTGGATAGTACTACCATCAAATAAATGTGCAAATAAGTCAACTATGTTGTGGCCTAAATGTAATTCAAGAAGAAAGTGAGTGCGGCAACATAGAGAGCAAAAAGAGAGGTGTAGGGGAAATTTTGTATGTGTCTTTTCCTCTTAACTTGCATTTATTTTTAGTAATTAAACATAATGGGTTTACTTACACGTAAGAAAACCTAAGATTTTCTAGAATACATATAGTAATCCTAAATACAATCTACTAGGAATTATTACACAATCACACATGTGCTATGATCCATACTACAACAAATTAAGATCTACCAAAAACATAAAATTAAACAACTATATGTAGAGAGACTTGTACACTACTACCGAATTCAACATTCGATATCAAATTTAATGGCGAGTGACAATGTATTTTCCGGTCACCAAAAAACAAATAGAACGAGACAATTAGTTTGACACACATATACTTGTATACGTATGTTTGTGTATGTATATATATAAAACCTAAATGATCTTATATAATTCATAGTTTGATAACATAATAAAATAAATTATTCTCTGTTTGAAAATTTAATTTATGGTTAAGTATTATACTACACGTAATTAAAGATGAAGAACGACCCGAGTAGGGTAAGTACATAGTTATTCTTCTTGGTTACTGTCAACCCTAGCGAGCCATTATATATATACAATCCATGCATTTTAGTATTTTCTAGGGTTTCCCTCTGTTCAAACACTGCAAAGGACAAACCCTTTTCAGCCTAAATAAGCTTGTTTTGTTTTTTGCACCTTCCCCCTCGTGGAATTCCATCCCTTTACTCTCAATCAATCATTGAGCAACAATTCCTTTTTTTTTATTCATTGCCGTTTTTAAATAAAGACTAGCATTTTTCAAGGGTTTATGCAAATATTCCATTGTCTTTAACCCTTATGGGAGTGACATCTATGTGAGATAATCAAATTTTGTCCTTGTGGGAAGAGGTCTAATTTGTTTTTTCCCCTGGCTTCACATGGCGCAAGAAACCAAGTTGAACTCTCATATGCATCGTGTATACAAGTGGAAGGAATGGGTAACCATCACAAAACTCAAAGGCAAATCCATACTAATTCAATTTTAATGTTAAATTAATGTTGTGGTTTGTCATAAATCATACTGCATGAACACTAATTCGACAAAAGACTGGCCGGCGAAGACAGCTTCTTTAACCTACTCTTTACTCTCTTCAACAGAAGTGGCCACAATAACTAGTCTCTTAAGAAAATGAAAGGGTGCGAAGTAATAATTAGCAATATGCCAAATTTGGTTGGAAAGTTAGCCCTAGCAGAGCTCCATCTATGCAAATTCATTAGATTGTTTTGATTATAGTGTGAGTAGTCGTAAATTAGCAATACCAACATAAGATATAATTTGGATTATATGAATTGACTCAGTTCCTAATACTACGTGCTTGACGATATCAATAATTTGCAATGTGTGCGTATCACACTACTCTTGTATGCTCTATCTTGATAAATTTCACTAATTCATCTGACACTACCATGTAATTCATTTTTATTAATCTGAGTATGCCTCGAAATTGAGATCTCATTCATTAAAAGGGAGAGAAAACTTGTAGCCAGTAGATCAGAGATCGTTACAAACTCATGTAATTCATCTCTCACATAATTATTCTTGTTCTTATAGACTTTTCCGGATCCTTTAGCTAGCTCACTCTATATCATTTAACATACCACTAAATTTCACATGTATGCAACTTATTTAATTTGTACGGAGAATTCAAGAGAAATGTCAATCTACAATCATACGTGCAGCTAATTATCAATGTACTCTTGTCATGTTATTATGAATCTGAAAGTCCTTTTGCATATACACTATATTTATGTATGGATAATTAGGGATATATCTTCTCTCTCTAGTCTCTTAGTATATATATGGTTTCCAGTAGCAGATGAGCTATAGCTCTCAACTCTTTGCTTCTGTGCATGTCTCAGAGACAGAAACACACCTAATACACAAAAGCCATGGACAGCTTTCCATTAGCCAAATACCTCCCATATTTCTCTTGAACCTAGAAACTCGCATATACCAACAAGATAAAACCCTAGCTCTTCATCAATCCCATCCACCGATCTTCGCCGGACGCTTGTCTGACACCCCAAGTATCTCTTTCCCCTCTTCCTCCCCCCTGAAACTCCTAATTTGTCACATACCTCCAATAATCAGCAGCCATGAAAACTGAAGTTCGAGGAAGCATTACCTCCATTTCTCTCCAAAATCCAAGTACTGCTCTCTTCAACACCTCTCAGGGCACGTCCCTCACCGGTGCGCTTACCGGGTGTCTCGGAAGCCTCGACGGGGCATGTATTGAGAAGCTACTACTTCACTGTGCAAGTGCCCTAGAGAGCAATGATGTGACCTTGGCTCAACAAGTGATGTGGGTGCTCAACAATGTTGCCTCTTCTGTTGGTGACCCTAACCAAAGGCTCACCTCATGGATCTTGAGGGCACTAATTTCAAGAGCCTCAAAGGTTTGCCCTACACCTATGAATTTTAATGGAAGCAGTAGCACTAGTACCATTCCGAGTAGGTTGATGTCGGTGACCGAGCTAGCCGGGTATGTTGATCTAATCCCATGGCACCGATTCGGATACTGTGCATCAAATAGTGCAATTTTTAAGGCAATTCAAGGGTGCCCAAAAGTTCATATCTTAGATTTTAGCATCACTCATTGTATGCAATGGCCTACTTTAATAGATGCATTGGCCAAAAGGCCTGAGGGTCCTCCTTTGCTTAGAGTCTCTGTGCCTAATTGGAGGCCACAAGTCCCTCCTTTGCTCAATGTTTCAAGCGAAGAAGTTGGTCTTCGTTTGGGGAATTTCTCTAGGTTTAGAGATGTCCCTTTTGAGTTCAATGTGATTGAAAACTCATCCTCTTTGGAATTGCTAGTTACCTCTGAATTAAACCCTTCCTCACTAGACCTCCGGGAAGATGAGGTTTTGGTTGTGAATTGTCAAAATTGGTTACGCTATCTTTCCGATGAGCCAGGTGGTACCCCTGGCCATCAAGATGGTTCGATGCGCAACACTTTCCTTAACACGATTAGATCCCTTAACCCTAGAATCATAGTTGTGGTAGATGAAGATTCTGATCTTAGTGCACCAAGTCTTACCTCAAGAATAACAACTTGTTTTAATTATCTTTGGATACCCTTTGATTCCTTGGATACATTCTTGCCCAAAGATAGTACCCAAAGGATGGATTATGAATCTGATGTTGGTCACAAAATTGAAAACATTATTGGTTTTGAAGGGCACAAAAGAATAGAGAGGTTGGAGTCAGGTGTCACAATGTCACAAAGATTGAGAAACATTGGTTTTTCAAGTACTATATTTTGTGAAGAGACTGCTAGGGAAGTGAAGGCCTTGCTAGATGAACATGCAAGTGGTTGGGGCATGAAACGTGAAGAAGATATGTTGGTGCTCACATGGAAGGGACACAACTCAGTTTTTGCCACAGCTTGGGTCCCAAATCCAAATGGGTTGCTAATTGAGGATTAACTCAGTGTTAATTTGTGTGGCCTGAAGTGATTTCCGTACTCTCGTTTACTCATTCTACATTCTCCTTGGTTTTGTCCCTTGATTCTCTTATGAGTGCAGAAAAAGAAACGAGGAGTGTGAAAACCATTTCCTCTATTAAACATGTTACCATGCCAGTGAAGTTACTGCAGTGGTCCAGGAGATTAAAAGAGAGGCAATGAAATGACAAAGCTCTTCGTGGTTGCTTTTTCCTCTTCGTCAAAAAGCTGCAAATGAGCACAAGACAAAAAGGAAAACGGCAGGCATTTTGTGGAAAAATAAATTTCACGAGCACTTTGTATTGAAGCTTTAGCTAGCTATGATCTATCACATGAAAGGCAAAAGAGAGACATGTTCTTGTCTGTTGTATTGCATTAGACAAAATCTAGCACTTTATGCAGGCTTTTGTTCCATATGGCTACGTGCTGTGAAATTAACTTTTATAGCGTTTTATTTGATCATTAATAATGTAATTTCCCACAAGAATTGCTATTTCTGGTACTATTTCACACTAGAAGTGGAAAAGTGAAAGGAATGGCTTGGTGGCTAGTTCTTTTCTTACTCAAATTAGTAACTAGGTACTTCTTATTACATTTTTTTTTAACAAATGGTACTTCTTATTAAATTAGGTTTGCATGTTTCAATAAGATCAACTTGTGTTAAATGAAAACATCATGTAACCCTAGAAGTATTGGTAGTACATCCAGTTACTATTTGCGGCTCAAGTGAGATAATCGTTCACGCATGTGCGGGTAACTATCAGTAGTCGATAAGTGTGGACAAACACCTGTAAGCTCTTATAGTTTGAACTTAATGAGTAATATAAGAAAATAGGCTAGCGCATATATATGAACGAAAGTGTGCAAGTGTAAAAAGAGAAATCAAACAAGGACCACCACGCCTTTTTATTTCATGGGTAAACATCATTGTTCTTGATCCTCGAATCAAAATGACCGCAATCCAAATGCCTCGTATTAATTTGTTATCGTTAGTACCTATTTCGTGTCTCAACTAGTTAGACTCATGCTCCTTGAATCCTGATTACATGAACAATTTCAATTCAAACATGGGTTTGATTCACACTCCATGTTCTGAGAAATATTTACCATCCGAAAAGAGGAGTTTTAGTAACTTGTTGAGTTTCAAAGACACTATATTCACTAAAAGGGTCTTGCAACTAAAAATCTAGAATGTATGAGTTAGTGACAATGGGAAAAATTATGTTGCGAATTGCATCCCCGCACAACCACATTGTGCGCCTGATAGGGATTTTACTACACATGTGAGCGGACTAAAAACTCCTATAATACTTGCAAGAATTACAAGGTTGTTGTAGTATAAACGGATCTCGCAAGGTCGTTCTCCATAGGGATTATTAAAGAATTGGAAACAAATCAAATTTCATTTAATTATTGTAAAGTAGAAATTGAGATGATTGATTTATAACCTACTTAAATTAAAAAACGAATTTAATTAATAAAAGTAAATTAATCTGCAATATTAAAGCTGAAAGAAAATGAACTAGTTTTGGAGAAATCAAATTAAGAAAGCACACTAGGGTTCCACCATCACCTAGCAATCCTATGAACTTTTACCAATTACTTATGATCTACACATGCCACTTTGAAGGTTAGATTTTCCTAATTCATATTCTACTTGGAACCTCCAACATAGAACGTATATCTAACATGCAACCCGTCCGGACGTTCAGATCAAATCTAAACATGAAAGACTCATTATGCTTTATGAAAACACTTTGAGAAACCATGCAACCCTTAAGATGTGGTGTTCATCTTAAGTGAAATTATAATTATTAACACAAGAAGCCAGCGTCAATTTCAGGGAACCTTCCGACCAAAATTGCATCAAATTACTTTTCTAAAGATCCTAATGGTGATCAGGCATTAAGACAATTAAATAGTTTTAATCCCGGTGATTAATAGTTCAAAGTATGCATGCAATCAATCATAAGCAATTAAATAAAAATCACATACTCATGCTAAGGCTCAAGGCTTCGCCCTAGCAAAAAGAATTAGTTACGCATATTCATAATTGAAATCATAGAAAATATTATTAAGAAAATGATTGAAAACACCTTAAAGTAGAAAATCTCTAAGAACCCTAGCAATTCTCTCTGTCTCCAAAGTTGCATAAAAGAAAGCGTAGTCCCCAAAAAAAATAAAGAACGGCCAAGCAATATATTTGCTTAGCCATCCACAAACCCTAAAACATAGGTCTCTTATTCTAATTAGGAAACTAAGAAAAATAATAAAATATCTTAAAAAATAAAACCCTAATTAAACTAGGGGAATCTGCCAAGTATTTGTCCAGCCAGGTTTTAACCTCAGATCTCCTCCAAATCCGGCCCAAGATAGCTTGTTTTAAAGATTAGGACGTTTTGAACACATCTCCAGAAGGCCACGAAATCATCCGAGGTCATCTTGGGCTCCAAAAACGCAATTTAAGCCCAGAAACGTCATTTTCCAGCACCGCACGTTGCTCCTTTATTTTATCGCTAGAAAATAACCGCTTGGTGGAAAAATCCCAAATTTTGATACGATCAAGCTAAGTGACTCACGAATGTCCTCCAACTGGAATTACTTCAAAACTCATCCATTTGGTCCTGTTTTTCTCCAGATGAAGTCGAAAATCCTATATTGAAAATACAATTCAAAGTATCAAAATTCTTCCAAAATATTAACCAAAATATACTAAGAATAGGGTAAAATATATAATATAAAATCTACTCATCAGCGCCCTTATCATTCTCGTGTAGTGTTTGCAACTACTTTCTTTTAGTTCAAACTGGGTACAAGGTCTGCTTTTTATTTCTGATGGAGCTTCAAGTATGTGTAAAAGTTTACCAAACTATATTTATTAATGGGTTTACAAAACTTTTGTGTCAGCATCTAAGTATTCTTTTTTTTTTAAAATAAATCTTCTAAGACTATTCTATTCTAGGGAAGTATAGATTTGAAATCAAACGCCACGATCAATTTTTTTTTTTCTTTTGTAAAATCAGAATTTATTAGGAGAGAAAAAAACAAAAATAGAAGAAAGAAAAGGAAAAATAACTAAAACACTAGCAGTTCAAAAGGAACTGCGAACAGCTACAACACGAGCCGAGTAAAATCCCTCGGAAGAACAGCACGCAGGCTTCAAGGAGAGACATTCACTCCAGGAGGTCTCCACACCATAAAAATATGCAAGTTATCAAGGCTTTTGGTCCATGCAAATCAATTTACTTCTAATAATATCTATGATAGATTTGACGATCATCGTGGGGAGTTTGGACTCATTTGTGAAAATTCTATTATTCTTCTCCCTTCACATATGGTAAACAGGAACAACCAAACAAGTCTTCTTTGTCAAGATAGAGAGATAATTTCCACGCTATTAAAAAGAAAACCCATCCAATGAAATCTTGCCAAGAAAGCCCAAGACAAATCTCCCCACACTTTGCCATCAAACGTCTATCAATTTGCCTATCACACATTTACAACACTGAAATACCGTTCAAACTAAAATATGGGGTTTGAATTACTAAAAATAAATTGGTTACATGGTCAGGAGTTGGAATTTGATTCTCTCATTGTCATTGACCGAAAAAGAATTTGATTCTCTGGGTCCTCTCTTGTATAATATTTGCTGCATTTATTTCTACTCTTTAGTTTAATAGAAAAAAAAAACTATAATTTAAGGAAAATGAATAATAGTTAAGAATATAAGAATATAAATAATAATTAAGAAAAAGAAATCCGACCTGCCGGATTCGAACCAGCGACCTAAGGATGGCTGAGAGCATATTCACCCACTACAGTCCTCCGCTCTACCAACTGAGCTAAGGTCGGATTACTGGTAAAAGTAGTACCAGATATTTATATCGATATATACAATAAGTTTTTGGGCCCTTACGAATCCTACAATAGTGGGCCCTATTAAATTGTATGTTGATGAAAGATTATTGCAAAAAAAGTTGGTAATTTTGAATGTAATGAGATGAAATTGAAGTTTCCATATTGGTGTGTTTTTTCCTTTGTGTCAAATAAAGTGGGAGAACATATTGGAGGAAAAAGTTTGAGATGTGGACGTTTTGGCTACACAATTTAGCATCTCCCTTGTGAGATTGTAGGAAACTAAAAAGTTGTATGGCAAAGAGTTTGTGTAGTTTGTCTCATTTGACTCATAAAGCTTGTGAGCAACTCATATAATTTTACGAGTCATCTCGAGTTTGGTTCAAGCTTAGTTTGTTCGTTAAAGTTTGGTTTATAAAAATTAAACATTTGGATCTTATATTTAAAATAAAATAGGCATAAAATTTATATTAGTGTAGTTAAAATCCAAAAAATGTGCGGCGACTCAAACTAAAACTCGAATTTGTTTCACAATTGAACTTAACAACACCACCCAATAAGCTCGAGGTTCGTTCACAAACGAATCGGGCCGAGCCTAAAAATTCATTTGAGTCGAGTTTGAGCATTTAGATATACGAATTTTATTCAATAGGACCCACTACATATAAGTGGGGTCCTCCGAACCCACCCCTAATAAAATGTCCAAATAGCATCCCACCAAAACAAAATAAATAATTAGAAAGGAAATCTGACATGGTCCCAATGTACAATTAACAAATCCTTGCTAGAAAGGGAAGTTTAACGCAATTAATAAAAGTACTGGATACGGGAGAGAAGTAACGGGTGCATTGCACCGCACATATACAGAGAGACTTGCAGCTATCAACGTGGAATAAAAACCAAAGGGAGGGAGGGAAAGCAGCAGCCAGCAACACAAAGCTTCACTTCCAAAACCTAATGGTCCTCCCCCCAAACCCCAAAAGGAATAATCCCAATTTCAGCATTAATAATTAGACAACTTTAACGAAAAACTCACAGTACTGTTCATTTTAACGAAAAACCATATTTTTACGTTAAAAGATCAATAATGGTACTATTTACTTTACCTTATATTTTATTCTTATTGTTAAAACTTAAAGTTTTCAAACCATTTTCATTAGTTTTCTTTAATAATTATCCATTAATAGCATACACTTTCACCTAATAAATAAATAAATAAATAAATAAATTTCCTAAGCTTATAGATGCATTTTCTCTGGGAATGTCATAATTAGGCTAGTGGTATACTGATAGTAACACACACTTCAACTGCTCTCTCTTCTCTAAAAATCCCAGTTGAGAACCACCACATTTTTTTGGTCACTAAAGTCCCTAACTCTTTCCCTTTGTCTTCTTCCCCATTGAGAATATGGATTTGTGTCCCCTTCGTCCTCGTCCTCCTCCCTCCTCCCTCCTCCCCATTTGGCCTCCTCACCTCTCTGTCTCTGTCTCTGCTGCACCATTAAAAAGATTACTTCTTTTGCCCTTCTGATTGCAAGTCCCAAAAAATAACTCTTGATTTGAAGTGGGTTTTTGTTTTTAACCTTTTTATTCAGTTTGTTATGGAAGTTCATTGTGATCTTGAAGTTGATGTCAATGGGGAAGAGTCTTTCATGGTGGACAAGGTAATAATTCCGTGCTTGGCAAATTGTTTCAACTCCATTTTTTACAGAAAAGTTCCATATTTTTCTATCTGGGTTACTCTCCATTTTATCCATCATGCCTGATGGATTGCAAAGATTTTCCCTTTTTTAATGGAAAAATCCCATTTTTTCTTTTGTCCAAATGTAGTTTTGTGATATCATTTTGTGCTTGAATTGTGAAGTTTTACTGATGAACTTTGTAAATTTCGTACGTTCTCTGGTACATTTGATCTGGGTTACTTTCCAGTTTATCCACCATGGCTGATGGATTGCAAAGATTCACCCATTCCCCCCACCATTTGATTCAAACACCTATACTGCATTGATGTGGGTCACGAACTCATGGCTGCCTTAGCCTTTTCTTCTTCTGGTTCTGTCTTTTTATTAAACAAGTTGCACGCCTTTTTCATTTTCTTCATTCTCTCTCATTTATTGCTGCTGTTATGGGCACTTCTTTTGAGATGGACTCTGAAAGTGAGAGGGTGTTACTGTCATGGGGTGATTGGCAGACATAGCCCTCAACGGTCACCACAATTTATTGCATATAACGACCTCTTTGCTTTCTTTGGTACCTTCTGGTGCAGAACGTAGATTCCCACATTTTATTGTACAGTATATTGTTTCTTTTCCAATTCAATGTCTTCATTCTTTTGGTGGGTTTTCTGCATTCTGGAATTTGTTCCGGGGTTTTGTGTTTATTGAGTTTCTTGTTTACTTGCTAGATAAGAAGCCGAAGATCTTGGTAACATTGTTCTCTGTAATTTACTGTTCTTGTTTTTACCTACTTTTTAATGGCTTTCAGCAAATGGTGTTAATTCTGGTTTTTCTGACCATTTTTGCAGAGAATTCTTGCCTCCTACTCTGGCAAATTGAGCAAATTACTTGGAAAATCAAAAGCCTCCTCAAGAAATCTTAAAGTGGTATTCCATGACTTTCCGGGAGGAGCGGAGAGTTTCAAGCTGATTTCAAGGTTTTGTTACAACAATGGCAGCATTTACATAACTCCTTCCAACATTTCCCTCCTTTACTGCGCTGCGCAGTTCATGGAAATGAACAATTCTGTCGCCAGAAAACATAATTTGTTAGAAAAAGCGGAGAAATCATTTCAAGATATCAGGTATTGGTCATGGTCTGAGCTTTTGACGGCTTTGAAGCAGTGCCAGGATTTGCTTCCGGTTGCGAATTCTTTGAGTCTAGTTGAGAAATGCTTGGATACCCTCATTGCGAGATTGCATTTGACAAGCGAAGCAAGTCCTTGTCCTTCGACTTCATCCCCCGATAGCTCCGGTATTCGGTTTTCATGTGATACTAGAAGCACTGAGAGTTTGAAAACTAGCTTCTCTCGCACACCCTGGTGGTTCGAGGATCTTCTAGTTTTAGGTCCAAATTTGGTTGAAATGCTTGTCAAGGCCATGGTTTCGCGAAAACTCGATCATGTTATCATTAGTAGGTTCCTCTTTTATTACCAGAAATCGAAGTTTTACACGGTCAAATCCGATACCAAGCGCACCATTGCTGAAACGGTCATTGAGATGCTGTATATGCTTGATCAGAGCTGTGTTTCATGCAAGAGCTTATTCGGGATTCTTCGAGTTTCGCTGAATTTTAACTTAAACAGAAGTATCAGGAATAAGTTGGAGAATATGATTGGTTCACAGCTAGATCAAGCAACATTGGACAATTTGCTTGTTCCATCCCCACAAGGAATCAATTACTTGTATGATGTCAATCTTGTTCTAAGGTTTTTGAAATCATTTCTGCGTGATGGAGGAACCTGTCAAGCCTCTCCAATCCGATTAAGGAAAGTTTCTGGCTTGATTGATTTGTATATAGCAGAAGTAGCGCCAGATCCTTGTTTGAAGCCTTCAAAGTTTCTGGCTTTAGCTATAGCCCTGCCAGATTCGGCAAGAGACTCCTATGATGAGCTCTACCATGCCATAGACATGTATCTACAGGTATTGGATTCGTCTCAAGGAAATCTTTGTTCTTGTAACTTTTGTTTCGATTACTTATGATCCAAGAATTCACATAGCCCATTTGGAGAAAACTAACATCATTGAGCATATTTTGAACTTGTTTTTTATCTGCTTTGTCATAGGTGCACGCAGGATTGTCCGAAGACAAAAAGATGAAAATATGTTGTGTACTGAACTATGAGAAGCTCTCGGCAGAGACTTGCATACACCTTTCAAAGAACACAAAATTTCCATCAAAATCTGCAGTCCAAGCTCTTGTCTCTCAGCAATCCAAGCTCAAAAAGTTACTCCAAACACCCAACAACTTTAATTCCCATGCCACCTCCCCTTATAGCGCCACTACTGAGGCAAAAAATTGGGGATTAAGGAAAGATGATGCCAACGAACAACATGTGCTTTATGCCGGAAAACTCGGTCTCTCAACTGACAACGAGAAGCTCAGAGCACATGTGCAAGGCATGCAATGCAGGGTCATGGAATTGGAGAAAGTTTGCAAGAAAATGCAATCTCAAATGGCAAAGTTTACAAAATCGAAAGCATCAAGCCACAGCCATACAAGATCTTTGCCCAAACTTTGTTCATGATACAAGTTTTGCATTTCATTCCATTAGTTTTAAGCATTATCTTATATTTGTACAGCTCAAGGAAATTGTTTGTTTTTATTGGATATAAGTCAACAATTTGTGATATAATTATATATGCTAATAAATAATAAATGCGAATAGAAAAATTAACAAAGTATGAACCAAACAAAAATATAAAACAGACAACTTGAAAATCGAGGCTTGCGTACTGCAATGCCCTTGAAACAGAAATTATGTCCCTACTCAGTGCTTATAGTTCTACGAATGTCTGCTTCACTAGGATTCAACGATCAAGTTAGAATTCCAGCACCGAAAAACTTAACTTCTGGCAAATTTTTGTGTGGTTCTCTCAGTAAGAAGGTTTAGGAATGTAGAAGAAGAATTTGACATTTTCTGTGTTCTAAATGCCATGCAGATAGATGTATATATAGTGGGATTATGCATGTTAACAACAGGTATGAGAATGAGATGTGACTGTTGGAAGACATCTCTTTAGAGGGGTGCTGTGCTCTCTGCGTTTTTTTTATTTCAGACTTCATCTGAAAAGATGAGTCTGTTCAAATAAATAATAATTTAATTAAATTTGAAATTAATTAAAGAATTTAATTTTTAGAGCCCAAGGCCCATCTTTTGATAATTAATTATATATTAATTATCAATTAATTAATACACCTTAAAACCCAGCCCTAAGGGTGAGCCCAATTTTAGTCTCCAAGGCCTATCACTCAAATCATTTTCTATAAGGGACAAAACCTTATAAAGTGAGGAAACTTTTTGGGAATGACCAATGTGGAACAATGAAATTTCTACTCAAAATTTCCAACAGTTTTTTCTTCTTATTTTTTATGTGCTTTTAGCAGATTTTTCTTTCTTTGCTTCATAACTAAAGTTGTTTCAGTTAGAGAGAGAGATTGTAAAATCTTTGGTTGTACAGTTACAGAAAGAGAACTTCTGTTGATTCATTTCTTTTTTATTGATGGTCCCTCTGCTACTTTCCTATAGTGCTCTGGGTAGATGGGACTAAATGCAAGGTTAAGTCATTTTCTTCCAGTCACTCTCACGCTTCTGGAATGCAAGCTGGCAACCATATATTCTGCATGAACATATGAGGGTGAGGTGAATGAAAGCTGAACATATTTCATGAAATACTATTCTGTATTGAGCTACCAGATTTTGCACATGAACTAGAGCAGTTTGTTCATACCACCTGGGAGAGGAGAGATAATGACACATTATCAGTTACTTTCCAATACTTTTTTACAAAAAAGTATATAGACACAATATATACTATATATGCAATCGAGATGTCGACAATATAAACATCTCAATAGTCGATAACGTGTCGATATTGAGTGGTCGGACATGCCACGTGATCAGACAGCTTGACTTCAATTTTTTTCACCAAAAATATTATATCATCACGTGAGCGATGAGTTCCCTTAGGGCCATGGACTCAGAGAGATGACGATATCTGAAAGTTTCTGTTAGTGAAATAGCCCCTCTTTGCCTAATCAACGTATCGTTGTCACCACCATTACTCAAGAGTATGATATATCAAAAGTTGAGTGTAGTTGCTATTGACTTGCCCTAAAAACAATGGAAGTATTAAGTATACAAATTTTACCACGTGGTCCACTTATATACTGCAAATCTTAACAATTATTTTCTCCTTAGATTCCTCAACAGTCTTCACCTAATTAACCAATTGCCAAACCCTCAATTCCATGAGATTTTGATTAAGAAATTGTAACTACAATGTAGGTCAATATTTTACAAAATACAATATATATTTATTGACGTGATCTGTGAGGAAAATGATGCCTTGGTAACAACTTGATCAGCTGCTCACTTCTATAATTCTTTTGGGTTGATGATCCCCAGCAGTCAGAAGTATGGTTCAAAACCGTGCATTTTTGTGCTTTATATGAACTAATAAAGGGGCACATCATATTTGATGAAGGATAGAATGCACATCAAATTTGATGAAGGATAAAATTTTGGTACATCATATTTTATGAAGTTTTGATATCGGACATTTTTTTTCTATACAATTGTATCAGGAGAAAAAGGGATTCAATTTGAGACTTAAAGTGGATGAGTAAATTCTTAACGAGTTATAATCTCTTGAATTATAATATTGTTACAATTTAAGATTTAATAAAAGCTACTTAACTTAGTCATATCTTGTGGTTTATTGTTTAACGAGAGAGAGGAGATTCGAAGTTATGAGGATGCGGAAAGTTGTCCCTCATCGGAAAGTTTAAGTAACATTTGTATGGACTTATAAGGAGTTAGACTACTTCACCCATTGTCATTTGATTGTCGAGTGGAACCTCAATTTTTCCTTTGTGGTAGTAGAGCAAATTAGTTCATCTATAAAACTCGATGGTTGCACGTACGCCAAGTAAAATTGTCCTCTTGTTTAACTTGAACGTGGCCGCACGTGGAATATGTATAAAAAAATTAAGCAATTTTGCGCATAAACATATAATGAAATTGATATAGATGGAACTCTAACTTCTTTCATAATATGTAACATTCTTTTGAATACGAGCAAAAAAATACTACTACACTAAAGATTAATAGTTGATCAGATTTACATAACGTAATATGCAGGATTACTATTCACGTTGGACATGAATTGTGTGGTCAATGGTGTTATGGGTAGGTTGTCCTGGTCAACCTCTCAAATCTTGATGAAACCAAGATGACATATCATGTGAATGAAAAGACAAAATCCCACAAAAGCCTTTTACTTAAACGCCACTTTTCCTCTACTGCTACTTCCCAAGCCTTTCAACTTTTCTTGGGTTTAATTATAAATCAACCAGAATTATAATACACGGACATGGGAGTTTCAATGAAGAAAACTGACTTTTTCAGTGTTGTTATTTCATTGCACGTACATGGATACCTTTCCATGGAAGCAACACATCTTGACTAGATTTCGTGAAACAATGTTGAGAATGAAGTCCGCATTAATAAAAAGAGAGACTTTTATAAGCTTATAAGAGGTTGGATTATTCTCTTTATTGTCAATTGGTTTTATAGTAACACCTCAACTTTCTTCAAGCAGTCTATTTAATAAAAAAATAAAAATCATTATAATCCTTGAACAAAGGTCACTTTCAGATTAAAACCTTGTCAAGTAAAAGAAATTTAACTCTAGTCTTTGACATTCAATTGAATTTTCAAATATCAATTAGGTTGTACTTATTATTGAGTTTTTTTTTTTGTATGTAGGTTATTTATTGATTCCTATAAACAATTAAAATGTAATATATTACTGATACTTATTATTAAGTTAGCATAATAAGAAAGTCATATGTTTTCATCTATTCTTTCTTGTGCTTAAATTTCACCCAACATATGGATATGTCCATTTACATATCGAACATTCATACTGAAACTTATGTACAAATTTGTATCGATACGTTGCAATACTATGGTACTTATGCTTACGTACGAATATTTCTGTACCTATTTTTTTATTTTTTATTTTTTATTGTTTTTTGTATTGATGTTGATTTTGCTCATGTAAGTTTGTTGGCGCTCATAAGTATTGAATTTGTTTTTTTTAATTATAAGAATTTGAATTTTGAAGACAATTTTATTTATTAATATGATTGGACCCAAAAAAATAAAAATACCTTAATTACGGATGGGTGGAGAATTTATGATAAGTTTGTAAATAATATATGTGTTACTTAAATATGGTAAGCTTTTGAAATAGAAACTTAAATTATATTTATAAAATCATTGAGGTTAAAATCTAAGAAGAATCTTTATTAAGGCTCTAAAATTTAAAAACCCCTTTAATAAAATTGTAAGATTGTTTTGACAACTTTGACAACAAATTTCTCGTAAGATTATTTGAAACAAGCGATAATGGAGAGAAAATAATCAAACACAAAAAGCTGATACATGATAATTAAATACAATGCACAAAATATTTATGAATCTGTGAAAGAAGCTGAGGTTCGATTATTCACTCTTAGGCCATCTCCAACCGAGGGCTGGCCAGAGGGCTCGTTTGAGCCCTCTAGCCCTCCAAGATTCCCCAAGATATTAATATTTTAATGAACAGTACAGGGCCATATTTGCCTCCGTCTCCAACCGAGGGCCAGAGGGCCAAAGGGCTCGTTTTAGCCCTGTCACAAAAAACCGTCTCCAACCGAGGGCCAAAGGGCCATAGGACCAAACATAATTTATTATTTAAATTTAAAAACTACAACAACTTAAATTTAAAAACAACAACTTATATTTAAACACTACAAATTAAATTTAAAAACAACATTAACTTAAATTTAAAAATTACAACGACTTAAATTTAATATTCATAATCAATATCATCTTCATCATCCGCCATTGTAGGAGTATAGTCAGAGGTAAACAATTGCCGCCGAGCCATAATTTCTTTTTTTTTTCCTATCAAAAATAGGCCCTTACTCATTGGAGTGTAATCCGAAGTGTTCCTTTCCATATTCTTATCATCCATCTCTTCTTGTATTTGTTTGGCTCGCTCTTCATGTCTACACTTCCTTTCTTCTGCCTCACGGGCATTTTGCTCCGCCAGTAATCGAAATGAGGCCGCCACTTCATGTTGAGCGGCGTAATCAGCATTTGCCTTGCCCTTTTCCCTCAACCTTCGGGCCTTGTTTCGTCCCATAGCCCTAGGTAAAGAAATTTCGGACGGAGTCGGATTTTCTACCCTTGTTTGTTGAATGGTAGGAGATCCATCTTCATTCATATCTACAGATGGGGATGCAGCTTCCAAAGGATTCACTCTATGTTGAGATGGATCTTCAAATAACACCCACCCTTTACAAATTTCCCAACAACCGTGAAACTGAAAGGGTTTTGAGCTGCCTTCCATATACAATTCCTCAGCTTGGCGTACCTAGAAAATATAATTAAAAAAATTTTAGGAAATTAATTCACAAAATTAAATGTAATATAATTAAACATTTAAAATAAACTGTAAAAACACTAACTTCGTCATAGTAATTGGCGCCGCTTTCATGTCTACGTGTTGCTGCTAATAGTGCTTGATGCCATTTATTCAAACTTGGATGAAGATGTTTCTTCCATCTTGAAGAACAACTTTCGTGGTTTCGGGTATTCGGTGGAGTGGTGCCTTCGTAGAACTCTAAGTATTTTTTGGACACACGAGTCCAAACACCTTCACTTGTTTGAGAAATCCCCCTCACACTATCTTCTGAGATCCATCTATAAGCCTTGCAAAGAGCTTCATCTTCTTTTTGGGTCCAAGCCCTACCCTTCATTGCAGATGAGGCCATTTTTTTTTGAAAAAAAATGAAGGAAATATTGAAGGAAATATTGCAAATGAAGTGAAGAAATATTATAGATGAAGGAAATATTGAAAAATTGAAACAAATATTATAGATGAAGGAAATATTGGAAAATATATTGAAGGAAATATTGAAAAATTAAAACAAATATTATAGATGAAGGAAATATTAGAAAATATATTGAAGGAAATATTGAAGGAAATATTGAAAAATATTGAAGAAGGAAATATTGCAAATGAAGTGAAGAATTGAAAGAACTTCACCATATTTATAGAAGAAAAAAATGTTTAAAATAAATTTAAAAAAAAAAAAAAAAAAAAAAAAAAAAACCAACGGCTAGCTGACTCAGCTAGCCGTTAGATTCAAAAACATTTCAAACTATTAGTGTCGGTTATAACCGACACTAATAGCAGAACTATTAAAAAAAAAGCTCTTTAATGTTGTCGGTTTTAACCGACAGCAATAGGAAATATTAAAAAAAAAAGTAGCCAGCCCTCCAGCCCTCTCCGATCCCGTGGGACCCTCCCAGATTCCAGAGCCCTCTGGCCTAGCCCTCGGTTGGAGACGGTTTTAGGGCTATTTTCGGCCCTCTGGCCCTCTGGACCCTTCGGTTGGAGATGGCCTTAGATCCGGGCCTCCTTGCCCATACCAGTTATTCCTTCGTGAATAGTAGTGTTAGCTCCACCCCCAGTTTGCATGGCTCACTTGTGCTAATAATCCTTTGGTAGTGCAAATATCTGATCCATTAATCATGGAATAATTTTTAATGGTTATGCTTAAGAACGCAAGGCCTCATCCCATTACCATCCATGAAAACTTTTGAGGACATTGGATTAATTGCATCTAATTAATGTTCTCTGTTTATTAGATTAATGTACGAGTATAATCAAGACACCATCAAGAACGGGCGTGTTAAGAAAATTGAGAACGAACATATAAAAAGAAATTTAAAGAATGGGCAGATTGGCAAAAGTAAGAACGAAGGAACCAAAATAAATTTGGTTCATTTCTCCATTTATGCATGTCAACTTTGTGTAGAAACCATGTTAATATTCTCTGTATTGTTCCAATTTTATCAGATGTCCTCTCTAGGACAAGCTTTAATTGTTGGACAATATTGACCACTCAAAAGTGGTGTCATTCTACCATTTAATACTACGGTTCAATGATATTCCTCTTCACTTGTAAGTGAGAGGTTTTAAGTTTGGTTCTTGCCAAAAGTTAATTTGAATCGCATTGTTATGGCTAGCCTAGTATAAGACTTAACTCACTCTCCTACCCAATTAATGTTAGATAATATCGTTTGTTAAAAAAAAAAAACTGCGTTATTCTTTAGTTTGTTGGACCCCAAGCCAATCACTAAAAAACATTCAGTACTTGAGCCTTTGTATGCAAATAAAAAAAAGAGTAATTGTGTATGCACTCAAGTTTTGTTTCTCAACACATTTTTTTTCTTTGGAACTTAACTTGTAAACTTCTAAAGGGAGAAAAAAAAAATACTCGTAACTTCTTTTAACTTCTTTGGACACTTCACTTCTTAACTTCTAAACATAACCGTACTAAACTTAAAAAAAAAAAAAAAACAGTGTTATTCTTTAGTTTGTCGGGCCCCAAGCCCAATCACTAAAAAACATTTAGTACTTGGGCATTTGTATGCAAATAAAAAATGAGTAATTGTATATGCACTCCAAGTTTTGTTTCTGAACACATTTTTTTTGTTTTTTTGGAACTTAACTTCTAAACTTCTAAAGAGGAAAAAAAAAAAAAAAAAACTCGTAACTTCTTTTTAACTTCTTTGGACACTTAACTTCTTAACTTATAAACCTAACCTTACCAAACTTCTAAAAATACTCTTACTTCTTTTACTTTTTAAATTTAATTTTTCTCTGGACACACATTTATAAATATTATTACCCAAATTATATGTCTACTTATATACAGGGAGACGTATAACTTAGGTAATGGATATTAATCTAGTGATCTTGCTAATGATTTGTCAAATTTTTTATTGATATGCAATACCACCCAAACCCACATCTTTTGTATATACTTGTATAACAAGTAAATGGATTTTATGTATTTAACATCGTCCAATCACATTTTTTGGTATATATTAGTAAAACCAGTCAAATGATTTTTTTAAGAATTTAACACCAAAAAATATTGGAGCTTTGAAAGCTTAAATATTAATTATCACATGACTTTTAGATTAAATACAAACGTTTGTCTAATACATAATGAAAAATCAAACAAGAAACTATTATAAATTCCACTGTGTTAGTGGCTAATAACCATCCAGTATATATAGATGTCTGTGTTATGTCATTAAATGGGATCGATAATCACTGATCGGATTCGATTCTTTGCTCTTGTGTCTGGAGCTCCATGCCCATCACCATATTGGTATATGCATTGGGAAATCCGAGCAAGGTTTCTTGCTGCTTTTACAAACTGCTCAGTAAATGGAGTAGCAGAAGCTCCATCTTTGTTCAGCTTCTTCCAACTATTTTCAACCAAATTACTTATATATTGACGAGCAGATTCCTCAGAAATATGTAGACTGCCACGCATCATGCATGAGATTGAGTTCGCAGTTTCTCCTCTCTCCACTTCTGCCTGCAGTGTGGAAACAAATTAATATATAGAATAGTAAGAGTTTTCAACCCTCCCCTTAATAATTATAAAAAAAAAAAAAAAAAAAAAAAAACATACTGCCGAAGTACTCAAATCATTGGAAAGCCGGAAAATAAGAGATGGCCAACGCAAGAGACTATGGTGATTCTCTAAGCATTCAAGTGCTTGCTTTGTGATCCCCTGAGACTGATATCCATGCATTGTCAATATATTCTTCAAATGTGGGTGTGTGCTTGTTATAACACCACGTTGTCTCCTTTAGAAATGCTTTGCACAAATCAGCCCACTCAGAAATATAGAATTCAAAAGATTGCACTTAATTAATATTGAAAACTGAAGTTATAATTTAATTGGAGAACAAAATGATATTACTAATGTAGAAAGAAAAAAATTGACTACTTTGTACATATTCTCTAGTACAGTAATAGTTAGATTGTGTGTCAATAAGGTGGTTAATTTTATATGTCTAAGTAGCATTATATATATATATATATCATATATATCATATATATATATATATATATATATATATATTTTGATATATGATATATGAATGTAATGTACATACCACTTTTGTGACTTAAGGGAGGACATTTTCTCCTTGCTTCTTTAGAGTTTCATAAATCATCTTATTCACTGTGTTATAAAGAGCTAGAAAACAAAGCTTCATGTAATCTGGAAGAATTTCTACAGCTTTGATATCCCATCTGAGTAGCACAAGTACGCAATGGAATGCCATAAGTAACTCTGAATTAAATGCATATTCAAAAGTAAATGATTGTATATTGACTGTCTTTTTAATTTCTAACCTTTCAACAGCAGAAGTAAAAAGCTCTAGTTCATCCAGAGTACCATAAACATCATAGACATCATCAATGGTGGTTACTAGAGCAGCCACTTTTGTCAGCTCTTTCCTGACATGACTGTGTTGAGGTTCAAAGATGATTCCAACCGACCAAAAAAAGCACTCCATCAATCTGTCTCTGGTGAAGCTCAACTTTTCGGCTAAGCCCATATCCACCCACCACCTAAATGAAAGATTAATGAAGCAAACACTAATTGAATTAGGATAATGCTTATGCTCGTAAATATATAATTACCTTGATGGTTTAAAACATGTATATAGTTGTACTCTGAGTGCTGTGTTTGATTCTCTATTCTCAAATATTGCACGTATAAGAGGAAAAATAATCACCTTGATACTTCTTGAAGATCCCTTTGGAGTGTGCATTGCACCCTGTTAAAATCTCGCTTGGCAATTTCAAGTAGCACCTTATTTGCATCTGGCCTTTTACTGTATGCCTCAATATACCATCTAGATTCTAATCTTTGCATTCTATGGTGCAGTGGAAGTTCCAGTGCATGACTCACTTGTTCTCCTAGTCCATTGGTAACATTAAGTCCACTGAGGTTCTTGAGGTAATTTGTTGAGAATGCAAGGCCCTCATCCAAGAGGCTCTCTCCTTCGAAAGCAAAATATGAAGCTTCATACAGACTCAACATTCCTTTTACATCCTTGCAAAGCCATGCCTTGAAACTTCCATTATCGTCCGTGAATCTTCTAAATACATCTGAGTTGCATACAAGTTATGACTAGAAGTACATTTGAAAGTTTTATGTCTAATGTCTTTATTTGTAGATTGTCTATCATCTATAACAATAAATAACAAAAAACTCACGTATTACATACCTTGGGAGACCTGAAACCCATGTTGTCTAAGGAGCCTGAAGCTGAGAGCGGTGAGGTGGAGACTCTGGTATGTTCCTTGGCCATCACTATTGTTCAATATTTTATTAAGGGCTATTCTTATGTCATTTTCAAAGTGATATCCCAAACCTAACCGTTGGATATCATCAATGAACTCAAGTGTAGTCAGCGTGTTGATATCATTATCATCATTTTCATTGTAATCAATCATATGCTTCACTTTCTCCTCTAGGAACTTCCACCCATCTTTGTATACTTTGTCCTACAAAAGTAATTAAGTGTAAGCAATACATCTTGATAAAACTTGTATCATATATACTGCAATTCCAAAGTCAGTCTAATGGCCTACGACTAATTACTTTGATATTGTATTCAATTTAACTATATGCATGTGCAATTCAATATGTATAGGCAAAAGGCCTCATTTCAATACTTATAGACCCATTCAACATAGAACAAAATTTTACGTTATGAGGATTGTGATCAATCTTCAAGGACCGAACAAAAGGCCAAAATGAACACCTAAGAGGGAAACAAATGTTGTCCTAATTAAAATCATATATAATCCCTAATCGATCAATCACCTGCAGGGGGTTGTCATCAATCTTCAAGGACTGAACAAAATCGTAACTCCATATGCTTGGCTTGTAGGTGCCAGGGCATCGAAGAGGCGTGTTATTATGCATCACTGAAACTACTTGAATGTATATGCCTGTGAATGATTTGATATTAGGCAGTGATACCGCGTATATATGCTACTGCAGGTTCGATGCATCTTCTCAATGTTTAGCTTTTAATGTCAGATTATATGATATTTCAATTGTTTATGTATTATACATCTTCACTTTGTCCCACGTGACATTTAATATTTCTACAATAGTAAAGATAATATATCAATCCAAAGGCTCTAGAACAACCTACTCGGTTAGGTACTTTACCAACCCTAATTGTGGAGTTTTTCTTAGTTAGTAGTATATACTGATATCCATGTGATTATGATAAAATATTGACAAGAAATAATCTTCAAAGTAGAGTGTAGCCTAACTACATGATTGACATAGAGAACAAAGAAAAAATAATAGAATAAAATAATAGAAATCTACACTTAACATTTTCAAACCACAGTTAAATTACCTCTCCTCCATTATTGATGAGTCTTTCCTCTATTGTAGAGATGATACAAATTTAATAAGTATAACATTACTCAAATATTACAGTTGATATGTAGAAATAGATTCGTGAGAGATAAATTCTCATGCCTTATCATACGGACGAGATATGAATTTATATTTATTTTTTTATATTTGGAAGTAATGGGAATGAAACAAGGAACTACCACCTTTTTGAGATAATAGGTATTTTGAATTATTAATGAGGGTAGGTTTGTCATATAAAAAAAGTTATCAATGGTTTGTATTGGTTTCCCTTGAGTCAGAAAATGATTTTCCAAGGTGGATGGAGGGCATCACTTTTCCCTCTATTTTCACACGGCCAAGGCAGTCGTTTCCCAAGCATGAACGTACCAAATATGGAGATGCAACAACTTCCCATTCTCAAGCCCATTTTCCCACAAAACAAACACAGCCGAAAAGGAAAAGCATTTTCATTGAAACAAGTTCATTTTTACAAGAAATATATGGATTTTATTCCAAATAATTTTCACACTCTATTTCTTGCCTCTTGCCTTCTTTTTGTTAGCTTTACAATTGAGTAATAAATCAAAACAACATTAAGGTTATAAACAAAGAAAAGAGTACTCAAAGCAAAAATAAAGAAACTTGGTGTGAGATCAAGAAATTTGGTGCATTCACCCAAAAAAAAGAAGGAAACTTGGTGAATAGTTGTGGTATGCATATTGATATTTTAGTCATGGTAGTGATTTTTTCACGCCGTTTTCTCCTTATTCATTAATTTTCTTTTTGTTCATTCAATAGGCTAAATGGGTATGCGAATATCACTTTTTTTTTTAATTTATAGAACGATCTCTACATTAGGAAATTTGAACTAAGTCAAACAATGAGCTAGCCAGAATTAAGTATTGATGAACTTGTCATTCATGAGGGTCGAGTTAAGTCATTTCACTTATAAATAAATAAAAATGCTCATAAATATAAAAAGTAAAAGAACTGTCATTTAATAATATGTTTTAGTTATATTCTTTTTATTTTATTTCCGAGATTGTAAAATATTTGGTTGTAAGATAACTTCCGTGGAGTCATTTTTTAATGGATTGTCCTCTGGTAATTCCACTAGTGCTCTGGATAGATAGGAATAAATAAAGGTTTAAGTCATTTTCATTCAGTCATTTATATTTCATACTTTGTTTTGATCTTTCATTTCACACTTACTTTTCCCATTGAGCTACCATATTTTGCACAGGACGTTATCAGTTGCCTTCCACTTAATATTTTTAAAATATCATTAACTACTTAATTGAAGTAAGTAAATAATCGGTACACTTGTCATCAAGCATCCTCGCCCACGAGTTTTCCCATCAGACATATCTCACGTTATTTCATAATGTTGGTCAGGTGACTAAGGGGTGGTTTGGGAGTGAGGTGATTAAAAAAAAAGCACCCATGAAAAAAATCTGTGAGGATTTTAGGTGTTTGGTAAACTGAAAAAAAAGGGCTTATTTTGGAAGTTGCTGTGAGAATAAGCTGAAATCAAAGGAAAAAACCAAAGCTGCTATTTGCAGCTTTGGAAAACTGGCTTTTTTTCAAAGCACACAGAGCTACATTGCTCCTTTAATGAAAAGACCCACTATTAGACTGCTTTTTTTTCCCAAAAGCACTTTTACAAAAAAGTGTACCAAACACTCTGCTGATTTATTTCACAGCCGCTTATTCTCATAGCACAGCCGCTTATTCTCACAGCAACTTTTTTTCAAAGCACATCAATACCAAACCAGCCCTAAGGAGCAAGGACATATGAATATGTGGGCCTTGGCCCTCGGGACTCACTTGTTTGAGTTGAAAATGAAAATAAAGGGTTTATGACAAATATAAGAATTTTTTACAATCTTACAATTCTTAAATATTATTTTAATTATTTATTCTTCTCTATAAGAAGGTATTTATAAGATTACAAATAAGTAATACTACGAAATAAATCAAAACAATCATTTGTCAACAAGACAAAAAAACTTAGACCAAATCAAATCATATCAAACTTAATTAAATCGTATAAAATCACTAATTAAATCATATCACTAATTAAATCATATCCCTAAATACTTTCCTTTTTATTTTCCAACACCCCGTCAAACTCATGGTGTGAAATCATGAGTTTGCCAAGAAGAAAATCTTCATTGATACGCTAAAACTAATGCCAATCTTTTCAAAAGCTCATCAAATTACAACCAGTCAGAACTAATATCTCTTATTGAATGCCTAGTTGGAACTATAACCAATCTTTTTAAAAGCCCAACCAGAACAAATCATAATCATCGGAATTAACGCCACTTTTTGAAAGCCTAACTAGAACAAACTAACACTAATCTTTTCAAAAACCCAATTGGAACTCATGTATTCTTTTGAAAGTCCGATAAATAAATCTCTTGATATGATGGAACTAACGCCTCATTTTGAAAGTTCAATTGGAACAAACGCTAATCTTTCGAAAGTCCAATTGAAACTAATGCTTCATTTCAAAAGCCCTAATACCAAGTCTTTTTTTTCTTCAATTTTTTGTTTCATCCTTCTTGTTTATTTTCTTCCTGAAACTCATAATCAAACTAAATAAAAAAATAAATAAAACAAAACCCAAAAGTCTTCGTCATAGGAAACGTATCCTACCTTGACAAAACTTTTGTTTTTCTTCCAATCTCTTCTCCAAGGCAACGGAACCACAACTTTTTTCTTTCCTTTTTTTTTTCTTCATGGTAGCAGAAACTTCTTCTTCTTTGTTTCACAATAGTAGACAATTTTCACCCTCAAGTTCATGACCTGTGGGTGCACAAAGAAAATTGGCTTCGTGCACCCATAGGAAAGCGCTCACAACAAAGTTCAACCAAGAATCGAACTCTGCTCTTATACCAAGTTGAAAATAAAGGGTTTAAGACAAATATAAGAATTCTCTACAATCTCACAATTCTCAAGTACTACTTCAATTCTTTATTCTTCTTCATAAGAAGGTATTTATAAGATTACAAAAGAGCAATACTAGGAAATAAATCAAAACAATCATTTGTCAACCAGACAATGAAACTAGACCAAATCAAATCATATCAAACTTAATTAAATCATATCCCTAAATTTCATTTTTATTTTCCAACAGTTTAGCTGTTGTTGCTAGAGATTATAATAGGCTTATTGTACACAAATTTATTAATTATGTTATCGACGTTGTAGAAGAAAATGTTATCGACTTTATTTACTAATTCTATGTTATCATCTTTGTATAATAGGCGTATTAGACCATATTTTATAAACCACATTATGTCTCGGTTGATGGTCAAAAACAATATATATATATATATGATTAATTCTTGGATAAACTTACATTAATATATTGCATGAACTATCCGGTTTTTTAATTATTGGGCTTTCGGTTATATTTCCTTTGCACTTTCCTTTCTCTCTTTTTTTTTTTTTTTTTTTTTTTTTTGCTTAAAAAGGTGAGACAACTAGTGATAAACCACAGTTATCTACCACCTCAGGGGGTTCCTTTCTCTCTTTTTTTTTCCTTAAAAAAACGAAGACAACTGGTGGCAAGTCACGGTTATCCACCACCTCTAAGGGCCGGGAAGACTCATAGAGGCATTTTAGCCTCCCCTAGCCACAAGTCTGGCTTCCACACCAGTAGTGGGTTTCGAACCCGAGACCTCTAGTTTTTAGTTTTAAGGAAGCCTCGTAATCCGTCTTTTACCACCAGGCCACCAGCTCGTGGTTTTTTTCTTATTAAAAGGGAGACAACTGGTGGCAAGCCACATTTATCCATCCATTCCGGGGGTTGGGAAGACTCATAGAGGCATTTCAACCTCTGCTTGGCCACAAGTCTGGTTTCCACACCAACATCGGGTTTCGAACCCAAGACCTCTAGTTTGTAGTTTTCAGGAAGCCTCGTAATCTGCCCTTTACCACTGGGTCACTAGCTCGTGGTTTGTATTTTCCTTTCTTTTAAATCATTTCTAGATAAACGCCAAAGAAGTGCTTTTAACTTGTTCGAGTCAAGAACATCATCAAATGGTACTGCTGTAATTAGTCAAAATTTAGTACAGGGACGCCCTACATACGTTGCCAGCAACTCTAGGCGTTGCCACTTTCAAATGATTTGAAATCTTTCTGCAAACTAAACGTTTATATGGTTAGACTTAGATTCAGTCCCTAAAAGTTTAAAATGAGTGTTATAAGATTTGAGAAATGAGGGGTGTATAAAAAAAGGGTAGGGTGCATGTATAAAATATAAGGTGTATATTGAGAATGTGGGGTGTGTGGGTATTATGGGAAAGTATGTGGGATGTATTAAGATAAATTTTAAGTGAAAAAGCAAATGTGGAATGTATGAAGTATATATGGTTTATTCAACAATTTATAGGGTGTTACTATAATAAGCCTTATTATAAATTGTTTGTACCATACTTGACCAATCCCGAAACTACCGAGCACCGGCCAACGCTATACTGTCAAGGACCCAGAAGAGTTCCCCTCCGACCAGGAGGCCAATCACTACTCGACACGTGTCAAGATTAGAAGCCAATCAGAGC